GAGACAGCGACATTATGGCGACGGAAACGCATCATGACCCCTGGTAGCGACTGCAGTAGGTCTGGACCCGTGAGCAGGAAGTCGTTCAATGCCACCCCCTTTGTTTTGGCTGCGGCATCATGCACTATTCGGAACTTTTCTGGCTTCATCGGGTTGTGAACGTCAAAATGGGGTAGGTACCATGTCCTTCCTGGTGTATTGGTTTTTGGTGCTATCTCGGCGTATCCCTTTTGTACTAGGGAGTTCATATGTTCATTATATTTCTGTTTTAGATTTTCGTCTCGATCTAATTTTTTCTCGATTGAAACGAGCCTTTTTATGGCTGTTTCATAATTGCCAGGCATTTCGGCATCTTTCTTTTTCCAGGGAAGCGCCGTTTCTATGTGCCCGTCTTCCAACTGACGGGTGCTGTTATTTAGTATGTCTTCAGCTTTCTTCTCTGGATCGGAGTCTGGTTTTCTCGGATTGATTACGAGAGACTCCAGCGCGAAATAGTCCCGGAGTTGATCATTTATGGACTCCTCGCTCGTGTGCAGCTCATTGGCCGCGTGGACGCGCTGATACGGGGCTTTAGTGTGTGCCCCGTGTAGCACCCATCCTAATTCTGTGAGCGAGGCGATTGGTTGGTGCGGCGGACCTCTGCGAATTTTAGTGGCTATCAGGAGTCTCCAATTATCTTGTCCTATTAAGATCTTTGGGTTGCCGGAGTCATATATTAATTGCTCCTTCAGGTCTTTTAAATGCGAATGAATTTGCAACTGTTTCCTGAGGTTCTATTTGGGTGACCTCCGTTTTCTCCTTTTTATAATGGTGGAGAAGTCTATTGTGTGTCGCGGTGCATCCTTTTATTCCACACTTCGTGGTTTTACATTGGTGTGTTTGGTTTTTGTATCGCAAACACCGGAAACATAAATTATATTGTTTTGCGAGTTCCCATCTTTTGTCGGTATCCGCTTCTTTAAATTTGTTACAGTCGGATCCGTAGTGGCCTTCCTTTTGGCACACTCTGCAATTCGGAGACGGCTTAGTGGTAGCCGTGTGTGTCCTATGTACTGGACGATTGCTTTGCGCTTCGTTTATAATTTCAGGAGGCGCAAATGCACTACAGTAGCGAGCTTGTTCGGTGATAAACTCGCTGAAGGAACCGAGGTCTGGCCTAGAGTCGTATTTTTCGGTATAAACTTTATACCACTGTGCCCGTATAGAATTGGACAATTTGTCTGTGAGGTGTCGTAGCAGCTCTGCGTTGATGAGATAATGGTCTCGTTTGAGTGCCCGTAGAGTGACGACGCTTCCCCTCACTTTGCTTGCGAATGTGCAAATATCTCTAGGCGCTTCTGTGCAGCGTGGCAATCCTCGTAACTTCTCGGTTTCAGCTTGTGCAATTGAGTCTGGACGCCCAAATTGTAGCTCCAGTTCTCGCATGATCTCATCTGGCTTAGCATGCCCGATGAGTTCCGAACTAACTGTCTCCAAGGCTCTTCCCTGTAGACTTCTTCGTAGTCTTGCCGTATTTTCGATATTGTTGAAGTAGCCTCGGGTTGTTTCATAAATGGCACGGAACGATAGCCATTCGGTATGTGCTCCGCTAAAGCACGGCAGTGTCATTATAGCTTTCGACGCTGCGAAAGTATGCGACGATGCACTCTCTGGTTTTGGTTTGTCAGCGAGTGCGGCTATAGCGGATGTGAGCTCCGATATAAATGGTCGGAGCCCTCTGTCTTCATTTATGACAGATGCCTGGTTAGGCTTCGTTGGCAGGGGATTCTTCGTTACATCTGCCGGATAGGGATCCTGGTAGGTGAGCTCTGATACAGCTGGTAGGAGCTCCCTGTCTTCATCAACCTTCGAGCCCTGGCTAATTTTTAGTGGCACAGGATTCTTGGGTACTTCTTCCGGATCGTGGTCCTGGTAGGTGGGCTCTGATACGATTGGTAGGAGCCCCCTGTCTTCAACAACCTTCGAACCATGGTTTGTGAGCTTCTTCTGCGGCTCACTGAGGTCGACAACCTCCGGGGGTGGCCTTGTGACGGTTTTGTTTAGTGGGGCCTCCCCTCCGGTGGCGACGCCATGAGTTGGCTTTTGCTTGGCTACGGTATTTTCGAGCCAAGATCGGACGTACTCGCTTTTAGAGTGACCATCTTCATCATAGTCGTCCGAATCATCTTCTTCCTCAGCCATTTGCAAGGAAATTTGTGCGAGTTCCAATTTAATTCTCAGCACTTCTTCACGAGCCTTCAAAACTTTTTTATTGGGCCGAATAGTCCTCTTTGACTTTATACTTTTATCTTGGTGGCCCCTGGGTGGCTCTTCGGTGCGGGAGTCTTCCCGGACTGTTGGCGGTGATGAACATCGGATGTCATCGTTGCCCTCTATATGTTTCATCCGCTTCGGTGTACCGGTTGTAGCGGCCGGCACGGGCAGGAGTACCCCCCCATCGCAGGGGCAAGGTGGCGCCTCAGCGCCCTCTGTGGTCGATGGTGAGCGTCTCCTTCCAGACCGACGGTCCACGCCATGGCTCCCTTTCCTTGAGAACGATTGATCGGCATCTTGATTTTGAAAATTCTGTTGACTTTAATACGGTAGTGTCTATGTATCCGGTTCCGAAATACAAACGGATGAGGGATTCAGCTCGTACGACCAGCTAATGCTGGACTCGGCTCGAAGTATAACCGGAAGGATTCAGCTCGTACGACCAGCTAATGCTGGACTCGGCTCGATGTATAAACGGAAGTATCCGGCTCGAAGGACCAACAAATGTGCCGGACGGGCGTAACTCTCCGGAGTAAATGTTGACGAAGATACTCCGCGAGCCGCTCACGTCCTACACCTATAGGTTCTGGAGGATACTTTCACTACCGCCTTTGTGTATGCTGTTGGAGAACTGTGGACTGAGGTTCAGAATTAAAAATGCACGATTTATAAATTAAAATAGCAAGGGAGTGGCCAACGGTTCGACTAATTAATTAGTTGCGAAATATTATAACTATTTATTTATTGAACACTGTTGTTCAACTATGATTGTTCACTATATATTTCAAAACACAGATTTAATTAAACACACAGTAATATTAAAATTTGTATTGGTTTTTAAAATTTCTATTCGTATTTTCAAAATATCTGTTGGTAATATCAAATTTCTATTGGCAGTAACAAGTTTCTATTGGTATTTTCTACTATATCTATTGGTAATTTTGAATATCTATTGGAAGTAACAAATTTCTATTGGTAGTATCAAAAATATCTATTGGTAGTAGCTGGTTTTCTAACACTACTGACTAGCAGCTATTAATCAACTAAATTAGTTGAATTTAACACTTTTGTAACTGCGAATATCAGTTACCACTTTTTCCGTCTAGCTAACACTTTTCACTATATGTAACGGCGAAATTTCCGTTACCACTTTTTTCAGCTAGCCAACACTTTTTCACTATATGTAACTGCGAATTTTCAGTTACCACTATTTTTGGCTAGCTGACACTATTTTACTATATGCAACTGAGAATTTTCAGTTGCCACTTTTTTCAACTATGTGTAACTGGGATTTTTCAGTTACGACCTTTTTCGGCTAGCTAAACTTTTTCTATTTCACTATAACTTTTACTGTGTTTTGCTACTAGTCACTTCAGCTACTACCGGATACTACTGCTTGTTACTGGTAGTTCTTCCTACTACAATGTTACTGTGATTTGCCCCCATAAGGTAGACTTCGGCTATACTCTATAGAGAGCCGCTTGCCATTTTCCGGTTTTGCCTCTTTATTTTTAAACATTTTCATTATGTAATTTGCACAAATCGCGATTTTTCTATATAATGCTAATTTTTACACTAACACGCTATACACTATAAAATAGGCATTTTGGTCCTTTATCATTATGTGATAAGGGTTACTTAATATATTTACATTTAAAAAAGTTATTAATCAAAATGTACCAAATTTACATAACAAATGTGCACATTAAATCTTTAATTTTACTATATTTATCAAATGCGTTTATTTACACAAATTATCTATTTACTTATTTCAATCTATACACCATATGCTAACTAAATATCATATTTACGATTCTTTCAGAACACAAAAATATTCTTATTATTTTCATATAAACTATTGCGCAGTTAATTAACTTCTAGAAAGTTCCACGATATGCTGCGCTGTGATTGGTCGAAATTTTATTTAATGTTTAAAGCCGTTTATATCAACTTATTATTAAAACGATACTTTATACAAATATATTACAAGTTGTAAACATACTGTAAAACTATATTAAAACACAATTTGTTCGATTTTGTTGCTAATTTCACTTTTTAAACAATTTAATATTTTTTCATCACTTTTGCTTAAAGTCTTTAAAATCGTCGCGAACAAATTATGTAGGTAAGTATATAAAAAAACGTGTTATTAAAACCTGTTTTCAGCAAGCTTTCGAATGATTCCGAACAAATTAGTGTTGTTTTAGAATTTATTCAAATAACATTTTCTGCATCGGTGAGTTATAAATGACACATTTTTTTAAATATTTTAAACACAAACATTACCATGTTTCATCTTATCAGTTTTAAATTTAATATATGGCTAATTATCGGTGTGTTTTTAACGTTAGTGATAATTACGGACTGTCATGATTCAGTGTATTTCGCGCCATCCGTTTTCCTCAACCATGGCGGCGGTCCTGCTCCTATTTTGGGAATCGAAGATGACTTACAAATCGCAGAATCGCTGCGTAACATTTCGAAAATTGTTGACTTAAAGCGATTGGAAGCTATAATAGTAGTAACAGCACACCGAGAGGAAGACATGGTTACGATATCGTCGGGAAATCATCATGACTTGTTATACGACTACTCTAATTACCCGCCTGAAAGTTACAAATTTACATATGACGCTCCAGGTGATCCAGTTCTAGCGGGAAAGATAGGTACACGAAGCGTTCGAGAAAGCAGGGATTCCATCAACATTAGACGAAAAAAGAGGTTGGGACCATGGAGTTTTTATTCCAATGATGCTAATAAATCCTAGTGCGGATATACCTATTATTCAAGTATCAATTTTGAAAAATCAGAACACAAAGCAGCATTTAAATATTGGAAAAGTGTTGTATCAATTTCGTAAAGATGGCGTCGCGATATTTGGTTCGGGAATGTCGTATCATAACATGGTTGAATTTAGGAAATCAGAAAAAGTGAATGACGGGGTTGTCGTCGACGAAATTTTCGATAGTTTCCTAAATGAAGTTCTTACTGGTGACGTAGACGCAAAAAAAGAGATTTTATATTGGGACAAAGTGCCTCCAGGCTTAGACTCTCATCCCCCGGGTGAAGCGGATCACTTAATGCCTTTAATCGTCAATATTGGCGCAGGAGGATCTTCTCCAGGGAGGAATATTTTCTCATCGGTCTACATGCATAAATTTATTCTGAGTGGGTTTATTTGGGATAAAGAGTGAAAGATTGAAAAAGTGGATTATCAATTCCACTAAGGGCCGATTTCTTATCTCTTCAGATAAATTACAACATAAACGACTTAAAAACTACACTTGTATGAATAAAATTGTTCATTTTTTGCTTTTATATTCCGTTCACTGACCTGTATATATTCTGTTAGGTTATAATCTATTAGATGGATAATTAACTGTTGTCTGACGTTGAACAATCGATTCTTATGTTATTATCTATAATCAAAACGTATGTATGACAATGTTTCCGAGGTTAGTTTAGTTAATTTGATGATTTTAAACGAAAGATTTGAAATATTTTAATACATAATATCTTTTTTTATTTGATTTTACTTTTTTTAATCAGAAAAAGCAAAGTCACATCCTATATAAGTTCCGCTGTGTTGGGATACTATTATTATTATTTATTGTGGTTTGAAGCAGGTTTCAAGTTGAGACCGAATTTATGTTTCAAATTTTCTACAATTGATTTGTAAGAAGCACATTTTTTCTTTAGATAAATATTTTGTCTTAAATTTCTCAGTAAGTTTCTTTCTAGCTGCAGATTCCTTGCTATTAAATACAAACACAATATTACAACGTGCTTATATTTTATTCTTTTTATAATAACCTAGAATTATTGATTCCGTTATTAAGGTAGAACTATATTTAAAAGCTTATGCTTCGTATACATCACTCAAACTTAGCTTAGGAGACATCACTTGCGTAATTTATTTTTAAGTACAATTTTGCTCAGACTATCTAAAATTGAATTTGTACTGCTTATTGATTCAGACAACGGCTCTGATACTTCCTGTTCACCACATTTTGTTGGCTGAAAAAAAGATACTAGTTATTTGGGAAGCCTGCAAAAATTCTAGTGTTACAGTATTAATAGTAGGTTTCCGCCTCTCTTAAGTCCCGTAAATATACTGAAAATTAAAAAACATTCGTTCGTCGTTTAATCAAAAATTCCAGCAATGTTATATAATTATATAATTACATTGTCGCATGGTACTGCTTATTTCTTGAAGTACACTCTTCCTGTTTTTGCGGTGTATTTGTCATTTTTTTTGAACTGCACGGAAAATATGCGTGAATAATCTGACGTTTCTTCGCTGCAATTCTTCTGAACAAATTTGATCCATGATTATTTTGTTTCATGACACAGCCGAGGAAACCATTAAATAAAAATAATAATAAAAAATATTAATTTTAATGCATTAACATTTCCTACAGTGATTATATGTAAATATTTTGCTGTTCATAATTATTTAACATTATACGTCGATAGTGTCAAGTCTGCGCATAAAAATGTTTTGCTCTTTGACATTCACGTATACGTTGCAGTTGATAAAGTATAATTAAATTAAGTGTGTTTTAAAGATAATAATAAGTTTAAATTACTGGTGAAAATTCACTCCTTGACTTTTCCTTATATTTCTCGAGTAGTTTGAACAGTATCTCAATGCACACGAAGGCATATTAATTTAAAAATAATTCTTCACTCTAACTTCTCACGTTGCCACAACCGCTTGACACAGACTAAGTGAGTTTGAGAGCGCGCACTCTAACGCGTGTTACAAACAATCGAGTTGAGGCGTCTTCTCTAGTACGTAATACATTATATCTCAATGCCTGTAGTACATATAATTTTTACTATGGAAGTTGCACCAGCCTGGTTTATGTTATCGTCCCTAATCTACTAGTAATGGCTCATAGGAACTCCCTATGAGCCATGGCTTGGATAAGGTTAAATCAAGGAGGTTATAATATAAAATTGAGAGTGAGCGCTTAGAACATTGTAACCGTTCCTCATTTATCTTAGAAAGAGAGGCACCGAGTTTGGTATTTTATCCCCTTCTAACATTGATAAGTATTTACACAAGATAAAAACAATACCAACGTTTAGACGGTTATTGACTTAAAGTAATATTTTAGACGTATGCTAGAACGATAATCTTACACTTTTTATCGCTAATCATAGTTTGTATATTCCATGTTGTATTTTAATTAAGCTTATTATTAAGTACCACGAAAAAACACCACTAAAACACTTTAATATATGAAATTTATGACTCCAAATGTCAAACAATTAAATTTTTATGTAATTTTAAATGTAGAGTCTTGTAGATACCACCATTTTCTTGGAATCACATTAGATGCCAAGCTTCAATGGAGCCCCCATATATCAAAATTAGCAAACAGACTTAGCTCTGCAGCATATGCTGTAAAAAAGTTTTGAAGTCTTACCAGTGTTGAAACAGCTAGCCTAGTTTACTTTAGCTATTTTCATAGCATAATATGGTATTTTGCTATTGGGACACGCAACTGACATTGAAATTACATTTGTTTTACAGAAGAGAACCATAAGAGCAATTTATGATTTAAAGCCTAAAGAGTCGCTGCGGCAAAAATTTAAGGAAATTAATATATTAACTTTGGCCTCTCAATACATTTATGAAAATGTAATGTACGTACACAAAAATAAAAGTAGTTTTACAAATTAAGTGATATTCATTCTGTAAATACTAGGAACAAACACAAGCAAATAGTACCAGTTACTCGACTCCATCGAGTGAGTAATTCATTCTTGGGGCGATGTATACGCTTTTTCACAACAAAATTCCAGAAAATATACAAAATTCGATCTGCTCAAAGTTCAAAAACTTTTAATAAACTAAGTTTGAATAAAATGGGTTATTATAATATTAAAGAATTTATGGATGATAATAAACCCTGGAAATGAGGTGATCGCTACCAAGCTATTTCTAATTAGTCGTGTTGTTAATTTATGTAACATACATGATTGTAAGCTGTTATTTAAAAAAAAGTTCCGCTGGGTTTCTTGCTGGTTCTTCGCAGCACAGAGGTATTTTTTCGAACCAGTGGTAATTAAACAAAAGAGTGACTTTCAATAAGTTTTATTTATAATCTGTATTCAATAGAAAGGTTTCTGTTTCTGTTACACGAATGTTCTTTCCCTAAAAACTAGGAGGTGAATATTACGCTATAGATGACAACACTATTTTAAAATTTGACAATAAAATTTTGACAAACGAGCACATAATCCACCGGATGGTAAGTGGTTGCTGTGGCCCATAGACATATACATCTATCCTAGTTTGCGAATCAAAATGCAGATGCGTTGTCAACCGTGAGGACTAAGATGGAATGACTCTTTTCCAGTAAAAAGTGTCTCCGGTTCTCTACACTAACCATACGAAATACATCAGTGTTGAGCTGCTATTATACGCTGGTATTCTGTGAGTGCGTGGTCCTTCCCCGGTCGAGCCGACCCATTTGTGCTACAACTATACTACTTATATAGCTGCGGCATGGTTCTACCACGTAGAAAACGCCTTGCGCTAATTATTCACTAAATCTATGTGGAGTGCACTCACTTGGGAGTGTTAATTCAAGTTTAACTTTTTTTCGGAACAGTAGGAAGAGTTTACAGGTTCTTTTCATCATCCACACGTCAATGGGAAACTTTAATAAAAAACGTAGGCGTACCCGTCAAAAGACTCTCAGAGACAAAATGAATTGCTCATCATGAAGTTGTTAAACCACTGCAGAATAATTAAAAAAAAACTAGAATGAGCACTCGAAGATATATATTATGATCCCAGCACCAACAGAGAAAACGTTGATACTGTTACGCGCCACTATTAATGTCTTGTACATGGCAACACTAGTTACACTAGCGCCCTCTAGTGTCGAGTAAAAGAAAGTATTGCGCGCCACTAGTAATGTCTTGTACATGGCAACACTAGTTACACTAGCGCCCTCTAGTGTCGAGTAGCAGAACTAGGAGAGTCGAGATCCTTCCAGAAATTTCGGGACCGATATGTACTCGAACATTCTAGATGTCGCTACAGTGGAAGGTTCTGGAAACTGTCTGAGGCCCTATATAAGGCCGGTATGGACCACGACCAGGGCAGTATTGAATTGGCGATACAAGAGATTACTTCGAAGCGAAATAACGGCGAACTGTGTTTTATTATGAGTGTAATTTTAGATTGTAATTAGTGTTGTGTAATTAAAGTGTCAATTTTGGTAATTCAATCGGCAGTTTTTAATTGTCTCGAATCCCAAGCTCGTAACAATTGGTGTCAGAAGTGGGATCAAATATGCCGATTTTACCTAAAGACGACACGGAGGGTATCCGTAACCGAAGTCAACGCCAACAGGAGACGGACCAGAGACGAATTGGTAATGCAACGCCGCAAAAACGTCGGAGGGGCAGCTGCTAACCACGGAGGCCGGCCCGTCAGCAGCTCCTGCATCTGCAGCACCTGACTTAGGTGCTCTGATGATGATGCTGCAGGATCAGGCTCGCCGACAGGAGGAACAGGCTCGCCGACAGGAGGAACAGGCTCGCCGACAGGAGGAACAGGCTCGCCGACAGGAGGAACAGGCCCGCCGACAGGAGGAACAGACCCGTCGGTTGGAAGAGCAGCTGCAGCGCGGTATGGAAGAACAGATGCTCCTCAGGAAGGACCTTCACGCTACCTTCGGGAAAGAGATAAAGGAGGTGAAGGATAGGGTTGCTCAACATGACAACCGCCTGTCGGAAGCTGAAACCCGAATCGACCAAGTGAACAATCGGGTTGACAATGTGATGGCTGATGTGAAGAAAACGCTGGACGACCTCAAACTTGGGGATGGAATTACAGCTCCCGTAGTAGCTACAACACCTTCGCTACGTGGATTCAAAGTGCCGCCGTTCGACGGGAGTTCTTCCTGGTCGGCCTACAAAATCCAGTTCGAGGCTGTCATGAAAGCGAACGGCTGGAATAAAAGTCAGGCCATGACTGCTCTCACCCTAGGCCTACGCGACCAGGCCTTAACTGTTCTGGAAGCTCTCGGTAAGGAAGTAACTTACGAGCAGCTCCTTGAGGCATTGGAGGCAAGATATGGCGATGCTCACCTGGAACACGTCTTTCGTGCGCAGCTCAAAGATCGCGTGCAACGCAGTAACGAAAACCTGCAGCAGTGGGCCCTTGAGG